GCTCTTCTTAATGCATCCCAGGAACCCACTGGCCTTCTTGGCCATGCGGGCACACTGCTGCCTCATGGACAGCTTGTCGTCCATCATGACACCCAGGTCCCTCTCTGCAGAGCTGCTCTCCACAAGGTCAGTCCCCAGCCTGTACTGGTGTCTGGGGTTATTTCTCCCCAGGTGCAGGACCCTGCACTTGGCCTTGTTGAATTTCATGAGGTTTTTCACCGCCCAGTTGTCCAGTCTGTCCAGGTCCCTCTGGATGGCAGCGCAGCCCTCTGCTGCTTGGCTGAATATATTCAACATATTCTGACTTCTGCTGATTGGCTGAATATATTCAACAAACATGAAATTTGGCTCAGTGATAGCTACTTAGAAAAATATTTTTATTATACGTATCTAGTATATGTCTCTTCAAAATAACCTAAAGCATATCTAAACAAGAAGGACAGATGACAAAACAAATATCTGCGTTATAGAAGTTTCTGATAGGCAATATTTGTGATGTTAGGGTAGGAAATTTTCTTAAAATATGCAATCTTCAGGTAGACATATGGGAAATAACATACTGAAGCTTGTGACTACTTAGGCAAGGAGCATTTCTGAGTACCTACTTTTTTGCTTTCTCTTTGTAGTAATCATTCAGGACTTCCTGTAACCGAGTGTTGTCGGTGGTAATATAGCCTTCTAATTCCACATTATCCAAAGCTCCAATTTCATCTTCATCAAATTGTTCAAAAAACTAAAGTAAACGGATATTTATAATTAGACTGTATTTGTCATGCAACTTCTGGATAGCTTAAAGATCTACATATTTCTTTCCTTTTGCCCTTCCCTGCTAAAAGGCCACCACCCTCAAAAAAAACCCAAAACCAACAAAAAACAAACACACAAAAACCCTGCAATAGGAAATATACTCCTTGCAGTCAGTATTCTTTCAGCACGGGAGCCACAGATTTATCTTTTAGTAATACGTAAGTTATCTTCTGCAAGATGTTTCTTATTTTGATGCATCATTTCAATGTGGACTTTAAAAAAACTGTCACTGTTTAAGACAAAAAATTATGTTACCCCTGTTCTTCTTCGCTCTGCAAATGTACTCTTGGCATGGTGGTAAGACACAGTCTTCACTGGAAACCTGTACTTCATTTACTGCATGGAACTGAACCTCTCAGAAGAAAGTGTGACACTGGCTATGAATGCACACTACAGTCACTAGAAAAATTATCAGGGTATTTCAACTATATCACTGTTACACCTTTTATTATCAATTAGTATTACAACCTATTAAATGTAACACACTTATACAAAACATAAAACAAAAAACTTTTTGATATCCTGAGGTAGTTAGGTTAGGTTAGAAGGCAGTTGGAATTTGTGCAGGCCTACAAGACACCACCTTATAAGAGGACTCAAAAGCTAAAGAACGGCATTTCACACCCTTAAATTTAGTAAGTTCATATTCATACTCCTGAGCTGCCTCACCTTCTCAAATCTGTCATCCAATAAGGTTAATTGTTCATTCCTTCTCATTACTGAAGACGTCATAGAATATTCTGTGAAACGACTCCTGGTTTCTTCTTGCATGAAAAGAAACTCTCTCATCTGTCCATTAACTCCATCTTCTGATAAAGGACCTTCTGAATCACAATCTTCATCACTACTACAACCGTCCTTTTTATCACCATCCTCCTCCATATCTTCCCATTCATCTTCATCCTCGGCATCTGAACCACTGAACAGAAGTGCAAAACAGTTTCAGAATAATGAAAAGTTTTAGAATAACGAAACTAGTGGTCTTCCTACAGCTCTGCCCAGTGTTGTCTGAAACAATTAGGTAATAAGTAATTTAAATATTGAGCAGCAAAGTTAAAAAGTAACTATTTTCAAGCCACTAAATAAAGAGAAAGAATTCTAGCTGTAACAGTGTTATCAAAGTTAGCTATAACTAACAAAGAATTTTAGTAATAACAGTGCTACCAAAGAATTTGTGATCCACTACATTCTCATTCACTTATATCAAAGCATGAGGGGGAAAAACTGTCTCCAGCAAAAGAGCGGTACGAAGGCCTAAGGAAATAGTGTTCAGTGAAGTATCACATGAAATGTTTCTAAAGGCACCGTAAATACAGATTAGTCTTGGTGAATAATATTCCTGAATTACTTTCACTGTGACAGATTACCATCTGCTGTAAATAAGAATCAAGATCCTACACCCTGCATACGTGCATGAATACATACAGTTATTAAGGCCAAGGTAACAAGTGAACCCTAGTTTATCTTGAATAGTTCAGGAAAAACACATTTTTTTAAAAGAAATCATCAGTCATGTAACACAAAGTAACACTTTCTTTCCCCCTTAACACACAAGTACTTAGTTTGAAATCCCAAATCACTTTTGCTTCCTACTACAACAGGACATAAAGTTGCAAATAGCAACCTCTCCTATCTACTTCTAATATCAATAGTCCTATAAAGCAACATGTACCCTTTTTTTGGTTCATTTGCTTGCAGAACAAAATCATCCTCCAGAATATTTTCTGGATTGTCAAAGTCAAAATCATCATCAAGAGCTGCAACAATATCAGGGTCAAAATCCAGACGCGGCCCTAAAAAGTTAAAGAAATATATGTAAGTTCCTGTGACATCACAAAGCTAATTCCCAAGACAAAACAAAACAAAACAAACCAGCTGGACTTCTAATTTGTGCTAAGGAGAGATTAAACCTCAAGCACGGAATTCCCCATTTCATTAATATTTATAGTTCTGAGGTACACCAGGGCAAATCACCAGGCTGTGGTCAATCTTCCTTATTTAGAGAAGAACATCGCAAAGAGATCTTAGTTGACCAAAAAAAAATATATATATATATATAAACAGTATTTTACTGAGACTATTACAGAAAAAAAAATACGCAAGCTAGAATAAAATATGATGAACTATCAACCAAGCTCTCACCTCCCAAAACTCCCAGCATTACAAAATGTCAGAAAAACATTTCTCTCCTGCAATTCACAGAATTGCTTTTAGTACGCTGCTTTGGGGACAGGGAGAATTACGATGTTTGATTCCTAGCATAAGAGATTATGATAGCTGCAAACTGTGTTGCTTAGTGCAAACACAGATACATAGAAAAACCATACATAAACCACAAAAAATTTGGAGTGAAAAATCACGTTCTGCACATGCAATTCACACCAATCAAGTATAAAATTAATATTAATACAGTAAAAGCAGATTCCAAAACAAAACTAATGTGATGGTAATTCTGACTTTCACAATCTAGTATCTAAAAGGCAACTCACTTACAGAAGGTAAAGGATTTAATGGTACCTGAAACAGGAGCAGCTTTATTTAACAAGCCCACATCCTCTTCAAACTCTGTGGCAAATACTGAGGAAGGCAGCTTAATAGATGGTGCCTATTAGAAAAAAAAGGGATGGTGGTGTCAAAATAATTTTTCTAAGTTTTTCATTTAGGTTCATATTAACAAAATATCATGTGACCAAAAGGAACTCTGCAGGGGCTACTTACACAGTAAGAAAACTGCTATTTTATTGATGTCAAATACTCAAAATTACTAGAATAATAAAGTTACAAAGTAAATAGATTGCTGACAGTGTTTAACCTCATATGAATATTCTGCACAAACAGCAACAGTATTTTTTCATCTCTGAACTTTTTAGAGAACAGTTGTACAGAAGGTATAGTGATATTCATAAATATCTTAATGCATACTGGAAAAATATCCCTTTATTGAAAGGCTTATTAAAAAGCTTACAAACATGCACCTCAAATAATTGTGTATCATACACGGGGTCACCAAATCGTGCTTGAGAAGCACTTCTAAGACCATCAGTTTTAATCAAAAATTCAGTATTTTGTAAAACCAAAGATGTTGGTTTGCCAGCTTTTCCTTTTAATTTTAGGAAAGTTTTTGACTGTGGGTCAAAAGAAGCATTTGTATATAGACCACTGCCACTACAACACCTGTGGAATAGGGCAAACATGCTAACAGGACGCTAATCTCAGAAGTATAAGTAACAAAAATACCATACTTACTGGAATCTGCTGAATCTCGTCCTCTATATGACCCTCATTTGTCACCACAATTCTGTTTTGGTGACCACGCACAGAAGGCACAAGCTCAGAAGGACCAGATGCTTCTTTCAGATGCTGCAAATAGTCATAGTCATCATCAAAGAACACTCCATACTTCCGCTGCTCTTCCTTTCTCTGCTCTTCATGCCCCTTGAAATTGTTAAACAAACAAAATGAAAAATTAGCAAATTAAGCCCCTTTAAGCCTTATTAGCAAGTAAAAAGTAACAAATCCACCAGAATGCCTAAATTCTTTTTTTAAAGGAAAAAACAACACAGAGAAGTCTTTTGAAAATAAATTAATAGAAAAGACAGTAATAAAGCGTGGCTCAGCATGAAGTACAAATGTACTGAAAAGAAAACCCTTGATTAAAACTCTACTGAATAAATCTGCTTAATTAAAAAAAAAAGTACTTTAGAAGGAAGAACCAGTCAATAAGCTAACTGGACCTCTAGCACAGTGCTCCACACGTCTGCAGTGAAGCACTTGAGCACAATTTTAACAATTCTCTGCATTATATTGACTCCACAGCAGTCACAGACAATCCTCTCTCCACTCATCCTCACACACAATCAACTAGAACGTTCTGACCACTTAGTCAAATGTCTGAGGAGCAATCTAAACAACCTTTTTTTTCATAAGCAGCAAAACCACCAAAGTTTTTCTTAGGATGGGTGACATGATCTTTTGTTGTGGTTGTTTTTAACATATCCATATCCCTATGGCCAACTGGTCATTCTTCCATCCAGCAGGCAGTAATTCACAACTATCATATCTCCTATAACTTTCCCTCCTGCCCCAGCCCACAATCTCCATAACTTTCCTTTTAATAATCTTTGTTCCCAGTTCTCTGTGGCCTATTTTACAACCTACCTTCACACTCACTGAGTACAAAGACTTGTTTAGAAGTGCATGTGTAGCAGTCAGCCAAAGGAACAGACATTTGATGTTCTATCTCTATCAATCTTTCAGCAACAGTTTTAGCTCTCCACACAACTGATCTTTCCTGAAAGCTTTGCAACACAACACTTGCAGAACTTACACTCCTCTGCTGAAATGAATCTTAACGATTTCAAATGTGAATGTGTGCATAGCATATGTGTGAAGACCAAATACATGAACAGGTCAGAAACATAATACTCAAGTTTCAGCTCCTTAAAGCAGCAGACAAAAATTACTAACAAGTTGCATCTGAACACTGACATTTATGTATCTGCTCTCATGGCTCTGAATTGTAACACTGAGTATTTGCTTTTCTCTACGGCAGCATTTCTGATCTGAACCTCGAAGCTAAGAGCAATTGTTTACTTTCTGTGCAGGCAGCAGCACTCTCTGGGGTGCAGTATCATCAGCAGCAAGTGGATCCCTCTGACTTCTATGCACTAAGTGAAAAGTTACAGCTTTCTTCTTCTCTATAAAGGGTTTCTTCTTCTTGTGAGGCTGAGAAAAGTAAAGCAAAGCAAATATTCATTATTTGTTAGTAAAAAAAAAGAAAAAAAATCAATACATGTACAAAAGATTTTTTGCCTAAAATATGCTGAGTTAACACAAAATCGTAAAACATCTACTTAGAAACAAGGCAAGTTATTTTTTGCTTAATGCTTCTCCCTTCATGCGCACCAGTCATTTCATGTGCACGCAGCCATGTTCAGCTGCAAAATGGTAACACGTCAATGTGGAATAAACACTTGATCATGGCATATGCACCTTACCATGCAGTCCTTCAAAGAAGTTTAAGTAACTACTTTCTAAATACTGACGCACACCTGAAACAAACTTTAACAAAGCAGCACAGGAAACTGATGAGTGGAAATTTATCCGGAAACACACAACCTCTTGAAACTTGTTTGGACAGATGCTCCCACACAAGGATTCTGCCTTCAACCCCAAAAATTATCAACTACAGCATTATGCAATGATTAACCTGAGCAACACACCCCCCCACATTCTGAACAACAACAAAAAAACTTACACGAGTAAGGGCCATGTAAGTTAACACATCTTACTGAAATACTTTATGACCTTAATAATTTATGACCTTGTTTATCCAGTAGCATTTACTGATAGCACATACAGGCAGCAGAGAAACTTGTGCTAATCTAACCTATCTTCTTTCAATGTATAAAATATTATATGCTACGTAGTCTCAAGACCCAAGCTATATCAACTGTCAAAATGTCTATGTATTGAAAAAAAAAAGTGAGGTGGGGAGGGCAGAAGGAAAAACATCCCGTGCTTTAAAATCTTTGAATAATCACCAAAGGGAAGATAAGAGGCCTATGGCGACGCAGACAACACATCATTACCACGGCTACACGCAAACTTTTCGCGCACTGCCGACACAAGCAAGACGCCGGCAGCGCAGCGGGGCGCAGGCCGGGGCGCAGCCCTCAGCCCAGGAGCAGTACGGGCCGGGAGCACGCGCGGGCCT